TTCCTCCAACACTTTTTGAGCTTCCAACAATTCTTTCTTCATATTTTCAATCTCATTTTCTGCCTCATGTTTACGTTTTTTCTCCTCTTCAAGTTGTTGCTTTACATGCAGTAATTCCTTCCTTAGTATTTCGGCTTCAGCCATTACATTTGCAGCTTCTTGTGTTGCCAACTGCATTTTCCTTCTTTCCTCTTCAAAAGCTTCCTGCACCTCCTGTAATTCCTGTATCACATTTCCTGCCTCCTTCTTTGCAGTTTGATATTTATTTTTGGCTTCTTGTGCTGTGGTTTTCTGTTCCTCCAATGCTTTTTGAGCTTCCAACAGTTCTTTCTTCATGTTTTCATTCTTGTTTTCTGCCTGTTGTTTTCCCATTTTCTCTCCTTTAAGTTTGAGACCCACATGCAGTAATTCCTGCAATACTACTTCAGTTTCAAACTGTGAATTTTTAGCTTCTCCTCTTGATTTTTCTGCCTCTTCTTTAAATTTGACATTTTCAGCCTGTATCATTTGAAATTCTTCTTGCATGTTAATCAGCTGTACTGTATTGTATGGTGAAGCACTCGCCGATCCTCTTCTCGATCTCCCTTGATTCATTTTGGCCTTTTAAACAAAGGCACCAACGTATTGTAGAGGAGTGAAGTGAAGTTTTCGATGTTTTTTCGTCAACTGTTGTTTGTCCTGCACAGAGATGCTGCTGTAGATGTGTCTCTAGCTGTGTCTGAATACAATGAAAAATGCTATAACTAAGTGCTTGTGTTGCACAGTTCTACTAAACATTCCATTTCATGCATGCTCCGCCCACATGGTCAGGTGCTGCATCACCAAAAGCTGCTCCCGTTGCCTAGCAATAACAGCTGTTTACTTTTTGGGGTCTGGTTCATTATTTGATAAAGAAAACATGTCCAAGTATTGGGTGCTGAGGCTCAGCGCATATTCTAGCCTGCTGTGTGGGTGGGCAGCTAGAAATCACTGGTGGGCAACATGAGTGAGGAGAAAACTGGAGCAGCCAAGCAGGGAGCTGCAGGTTGCTGGTTTGAGTCTCTGTTCAGATGCTGGTGTCTCCTCTCTCTGAGATGTCTGCAAACAGTCCCAGATAAAACAATAAGGATAATAAACAAACACGTGACTAAAATAACAATTATGACTCTGATATGTTTCATGTGTAGCAGGATGGCCTTTATACAGCAGTCGCTGCAAGCATCCACATCGCCACACTTACTTTTCTTTAAGCAGGCGTGCTGGGCTCCTCCTAAGGAAAGTTTGAAACTTCATTTCCTTCATGCTGGTGAACTTTTTACCAAATATTTTCATCAAAGCTTCTCCATCACTGACAGGGATTGTTTGGATCTTCACACTCATCTCCACCAACCCTAAAAAATGAGTCTCACTTTGCTATAATGCAGGGGTGTCTCCATATTCCACAAAAGTCTATGCAAACATGTAACAGTATCCCATATTCATATAAATATTATTGATATTATAACAAAAGCTGTCACCAACACAATTGTCCCAAGTGCTTTTTTTAAATGGGATTTTCAACTAGAGGATTTCCCTATAGCTTCATGTTTTTTAATATTTTGTACACAATAACAGAATAATTTCAGAAAAACACAAAATGACTGGTGTCAATATTATTTGCCCCACAAAAAAGGTCGAATATAAAAAAAATATTGCAAATATTGCACAGTTGAAAAAAAAGAAAGCACTACAGCTCAGTTGTTCCCGCCCTCCTTTGTCCTCCTGTTTCCCCTCCCTCTCCCCTCCAACGAGGAGTTTGATGGCGTGTGAGACAAAGGAGTTTTTAAGCCTGTTGGTTCTTGTCTTTGGGAGAAGCAACCTGTCGCTGAACAGGCTCCTCTGATTATTTACCACCGTGTGCAGAGGATGCCCAGCATTGTCTATAATGTCCAGCAGTTTCTTTAATGTCCTTTTCTCTGCCACTGTCACCAAAGTGTCCAGCTTCATGCCGACCACAGAGCCAGCCTTCCTGATTCGTTTTTCCAGCCTGGATGAGTCCTTCTGTGCTGTGCTGCTCCTGAGGAAGTACAGTCTGCTTTGGGATCAATGTTAGTTTTGAAATTGGTTTATAACTGCTAAGCAGAGAAGCGTCAAGTTTAAGGGGTTTTAACAGTGGGTGAATGACAGCATTCTTATAATAATCAGGGACCTGACCAGAAACCAATGAAACATTGATAATTGTAAGCACACAGGGACCAATAGACTGAAGGACATTTTTAAACAAAGATCCAGGTAAAATATCAAGAGGGCAGGAGGATGATTTCATCGAATCAACTAATTTGACCAGCCCAGGTAAAGCACTGTTAAAAAACTTCCTAAAATAACAGGCCTAAGTGAATTTGGAGCAGACAACAGGTACACAGAAGGAGAGATATTGTTCCTCACATTGCTAACTTTTTCAACAAAGACAGAAAAAGAGTTTTCACAATCTTCATTTGATGAAATTGGGACAGCAGATTGAGCAGGAGCAACAATATCACTAATGGTGTCAAATAGTACCTTGGGGTTACCTCTGCTCTTTGAGACTAGGTCTGAGAAATAGGCAGCCCTCACATCTCGAACTGAAGTGTTAAAAGAAACTAAAAGGTCCTTTAAATGAAAGAGATGAACATATAAACGAGTTTTCCTCCACAAATGCTCAACTTTACAACAGGAACGCTTTAAACAACAAATGCTGTCATTTATCCAGTGGGACGACTTTGAAACAAGAGCTAGTCCGGTTTTGACAGGACAAACACTGTCTAAGATAGAAACACAATGATTATTAAAAAAAATGTTAATAGATCAACATCATTAAAGAAAGGTAAAGCAAAATTAAAAACATCAGAAAATTTAGCAGCAATAGAGGAATTTAGGATGCGAGAGCTAACCACATATCGAACAGGAGATAGGGACAGATGTAAAGACAAGTTAAAAAGAATACAACAATGGTCCGAAATAAAAATGTCCTCAGAACTAATAAAATCAATGGTTAAACCTAAGGTAAAAGCAAGGTCCAGTGTGTGTCCTTTGGTGTGTGTGTGGGGCCAGACACATGCTGTGTAAAATGAAAAGAATCCATGACCTCTGTGAAAGAGGTCAGAGTCATCATCACTGTGTATATTAAAATCCCCGACTTCAAGATGGAGGATAAAAAGTCACTGAACTGTTTAAAAGTTGACCATTTAGGCCAGGTGGATGATACATTACAGCACACTAAATCTTTATTTCCAATTTTAACCAGCTGTAATTCAAACGATGAAAAATGTTCGACCATTACTGAGCAACAGTGAAACCGGCTTTCAAACACCGCAGCGAGACCTCCTCCTCGGCCGGACATCCAAGGCTGACTGATGAAGGAGTACCCGCCTGGGCAAAGTTCAATGAGGGATGAGTAGTCACCATCGCGCTGTCCCAAAAATGTACCACTGGTGACGTCTGATGAAGATCCATACACCGGCAGCGGAGGATGGAAAATGCCGTCGCAGGAGGATAAGGTATCCAGACCATCCATAGAGGATCGAATAGATTGGAGCATCAGGCGATCATAGACTAAGGGAGCCAACACATCAGTGACAAAAAAGGAGAACAGAAAGGCCGAAACAAAACTGCACTAGAGCAGAGCAAGACAAACTGCAGCCGGCAGCGGCAAAGCCAAACACAGGCGCCATCATACCGGAAGCTGTTAAACTCTAACCATCTGGTACACTAGCTGCACAGTCGCTCAGAGGAAAGCACTCCAGAGGGTCATTAACACTGCCTAAAGGATCATTGGGTGCCCTCTCCCCACGCTGGAAGATCTACACAGTAACCGCTGTCTTAAAAAAGCCCAGAACATTATAAAAGATACCTCACATCCTGCCCACTCCCTATTTGAACTGTTGGCCTCTGGCAGATGGTACAGAGCACTCAGTGTAAGGACAAATAGACTCAAACACAGCTTTTACCCAACTGCAATAACATGTCTTAATGCTGCTACAAAATAATGGTCATCACGCTGCTCTTGAAATGATCTATGCACTGGCTGAGGTATGTGTGTGTGAATGTATGTGAACGTCTGTTTATACTGTTAGTGAAATGAATGAGGTGTATGATGTCTTTGTGCATGTGGGCTCAGGCCATTGTCTAGGTATATTATTCTTATTAGCACTTTAAAATGTTTATTTTTGATTTTAATACAACTTTTTATTTTATGGATGATGCACTAATCGGAAACCACTTTCAATTTCGTTGTACCTGTGACAATGCCAATAAAGACATTCTATTCTATTCTGTAGCACCCTCAAGGACTGACGTAGGCAAGATGTAGAGTAATAAAACAAGGTTTATTCTGGTCTTGACAACCAATGAGAACTGCTAACGGAAGAAAATAATAATAAAAAACATAACATCGAAATGCATTCTTGTACTTTGTGTCAATCAATAAAAAAGTTATTAATCACAGAAAAAAAAACATTTAAAGTACACAAACCTTGTGAGCGGACATCCAGGAGGGGTTAAATAGTCCTTTATGGCCTTAGTATCTTATTCTCTATCTTCTTCCTTACGTGTTTCTTCTGTTAATCTAATTTTGAATATTACTTTCTCCATGTGTGGAGCTAACCGAGAGCTGCAGCATACATACACCATTGATATGTCCTAATTCATTGTTTTCCTCTTTACATTCTTTTAATGCAACAGTGATCTAAACTCTAAGTACTAGAAAACCTAACTAGAAGCTGAATCTGTTAACTAAGAGTTCAAAACAAGAACAAGGCACAGAGTCAAACTCTTACTGGAGTCAAGATTAACACGGAAAAAAACCTTAATACCTCAAACACTACTAAAAAAGAAAAAAGACTGTTTATCAATCTGTGCCACAAAGAGTTAAGGCAGAAGGGGGTGTGAAAGGTGTACCTAATAAAGTGTCCAGTGATTTTATAGGTACAGTTTCAAAATCTTGTTTCATAAGAAAGAAAAGTGAAAGTTAAAAGAGCTTTAGGATGTGGTGACTGTAACTTCACACTTTGGTATTTGGGCTGCAGACTGTCTACATCTCAGTGAGGGGGGAGAGATTAGCACAGCAAAGGTACGCTCCTTCAGATGTCTGTTTGCTGTTGGTCATTTATTTTGATTTAAGGCAAACATTAAATAATTCCTTTAAATCTAAAAATAAATGCTTTATGTTCCAGTTATGGGAGGATTGTTTTCAAGAGCTCCTCCAGTAAAATGTAAGTTTGGTCAGAGCTGCTATTTTCCATCCAGTGAACATCAGTTATTGTCCAATGATGTCATTCTTTCTTTAACATCTGTTGTCAGTGCTTGATGCACCATGGAGGAAGCACTTTAACTGGGGGTAAGCATTTACAGGCCTCTGAGAAACATTTGTTATTGTTGATTATCACTTCCTGTTTCAGCCCATCACTTGTTCAGTGTCCAGAATGTGATGTAATGTTTTGTTGTCTCCTCTGAGCAGAAATAAAGAGGACGATCTACAGTATGTGAACAGCTACAAGCCTCAGACTAAAGAACAGCAGCTCAGGATTCTTCTACAAGGCCCAGTTGGAGCTGGAAAGTCCAGTTTCATCAACTCTGTTAAAAGTGTCCTACAGAACAGAGCATGCAGACAGGTCTCCTGTCCGAAGCACCTCCCATTCATCTTGCACAAAAAAGGTATGAAGCATGATTGTGGTGATAAGACTGAGTAAGAAATTGTTCTTTTTTTCCATTGTTTAAAAGTCTGTACGGAGTTTTAAAAAAAAATTGATGTTGCTGTCAGCGATGGCTCATTCAATAAAAAAGTAGTCAGTGCTTCCCACTTTACTCTCTCATAGTCAGCTGATTTCTTAAGAAGAATTCCAGAATAAATCAGATGAAGTGGTAGAGATTTCCCCAGGAATAGGTAGTGGTGACTGGAGTGAACATGGGTGATGAGGAGGTGCTGAGTAGGTTGAGTGTTATGGAGAGAAATGGCTGTGGTGAGTCTGTACATCAAAAAGAGGGAGGAGCACTGGGTGATGTTCAGTACTGTGCAAAAGTTTTAGGCAGGTGAGGAAAAAATGCTGTAAACAAAGAATGCTTTCAAAAATGGAAGTGTTAATCATTTATATTCATCAATCAATGATTGAAACGTTTTTTCACAAAACTTGTTTTGATGTTTCACTTCAGCTTTAGTTGTGTATAATAACCTAGGTCAGATAATTCCATTAAAAAATGTTCCAAAACGAAGTAAATGAATATATTTTGTTTTTATTGCATATTTTAAACCAAAATGATTTTTAAAAAATGAGATGAGAGATAGCTGTCATTTGTCAGTTGCAGGTCTTTTGCCCACAACCGAGATGACAGACCTTGCCGACCGTACATACAATACACAAACATCACATTGGGGAGACAGGTCAGGCTAGGTAGCGAGGGGAAAAAAAACATCGAAATGTGTAACACAGAAGGATAATGCAGGAATGCACAGATATCAACACACCATAGCACAATAAACACAGACAGCAACATGGGAAAGAGTTCCAGTGTGTCCATCTGATCTGGGACCGCTGCAATCTTTCGACTGCGCCTCCAGCTGACCCGATGTCCACATCAGAGGGGAGGTAAGCGTTGGAGGTGGCGTTGGATCCGGGGTAGGGAGGGTGATGCGTCAGTGAGTGCTTATCAGTATCAGTATATGTATGTGTGTGCGTGTCCATAGTTCAGCTGAGACAGTGTCCTTCGCCCCGCCAGGCTAAGTAAACAGTCTTCCAGCCAACCCAGGTGGCCTTGTAGGGAATGGGAAGGAACAGACTCAACACAGTCGTTATCAGGGAGTTTTTGTTCGGCTCCAGCCTTGAGCCCACAGCTGGCGCCGAAGGGGTAGCCGCATTATGATGGTAATTTTTCTTTTGTGACAACTCATGAGAATTTCACAGCTGTTCTTTAACACTCCGACACTGGTCTCTCAATCTCCCGTTGGAGAACCGCGAGCTTCCCGATGATGGTATCAAACTTGCTGGTGTTTTCATTCTTTTGCCCAAACAGCCGAATCTGAGAACTCACAACTGCAGTGAGCTGTTCTGCAATGTAATCCAACTTTCGCTCAAGGCTGTTATTTTGAGCAGGCCTCTCCTTGATCTATCCCAATATATGTTCAGAGGTGTTATTCTGAGTATTTACGGCAGCTGTAAGCGTCTCCAAGGTCTTAACCATGCTGCTTTCGAGCCCGTTCTCAGAAGTCGCGCCTCGTCCCATCGTTTCAATCCCAGTGGGCAGCCTTGGGGGGTTTTGAACAGCCGGTTCCGCTTTCTTAATTCTCCGATAAGTCAGGGCCAAGCCAGCTCAGATCAGCAAGAACCCTGTTATCATGGTTCCGAATAGGTAGATATCTTCAGCGTCCTCGATCGACAGTCCCGCCAGGCACACGACCCTCCATTCCTGCCACCCGTCCATCGTGTATCCGGCAGGGAAAGTCCTCCAGGGCACTCGGGCTCTCCCGAGCCCAGACTTCTCGTTGAGAAAAGGGTGTCAATAGCATTCAGAGACCAGTTGATCAAATCCATAATTCTCTTTAGGTTTTAGAAACAGACTGTGAGAGAGTGTTCCAGGGAAAGTAATACAAAAAACACGAGACTAGACAAGGACATAAGCAGGGAAGATAAGGGAGAGGAGAAAAAGTGTGTCTGCCTCCTCCGAGAGCCAAAGAGAAAGAATGTAAAAAAGGCACCCAGCAACTGCACGAACACGTGCAGAGGTCCATTTCTGGGACTCCTTTAGCTGAGGTGAACTTACAGGACATTGTTGGTAATGTTTTTGTTGCAGTCATGATGAAAATAAGACTTACAGGTCAGCACTACTCCACACTCAATGACTCTGATATTCTGGTCCACAGTATAAAGCCTTCAAGATCCAAAAGGGAGACTCAAACTGCTATTACCCTTTTGTCTTGAATGACATGGCGGGACTGAACGCCAGCAGCAGAAAAATCAGACAGTTGCATGTGAAGGACGTCAAACGGGCCCTGAAGGGACACATCAAAGAAGGTTACAGGGTACAGTTGCTGTATTTCTGATATTGAGTTTAAAGAATTCATTCATTTGGTCACACATCGATACATTCAGTTTGTTTTTCAGTTCAATCCTGAACGTAAACTGTCCAAAGATGACCCACACTACAACAGCAGTCCTTCAGACAGCGACAAAGTGCACATTCTGGTTTTTGTCGTTGATGCCAGCACTATACCTAACATGAAGCAAGAGGACATGGAGGTAATCGAGGACATCAGAGATGAAGCAGATGAAATGGGTAAGAGCACCTTAAACAGAATCAGGATTATCAGTGTTTTTAGTGACACCAGTAGAAGTGAAGTGATCTGCAGTCATTGAGCAACCCTGTGTTTGCTCTCAGCTCACGCTCACTCTGAGTGAAACTTCAGGTAAAACAGTGATGAGACCTCCAGGAGAGCTCATCCCTGTTTGAATGTCATGCTGCACTAACACGGATCTAATCCTATGTTCTGCATGTCAGAGATAGAAATTAGAAGTAAATTTATAAAACATTCAATTCAATTTTATTTATACAACGCCAATTCACAACAACAGTCGCCTCAAGGCACTTTATATTGTAAGGTAGAACTCACAATAATACATACTGAGAAAAAGCCCAACAATCATATGACCTCCTATGAGCAACAGTGGGAAGGAAAAACTCTCTTTTAGCAGGAAAAACCTCCAGCAGAACAAGGCTCAGGAAGCGGCGGCCATCTGCTGTGACCGTTAGGGTGAGAGAAGGAAGACAGGACAAATCATGCTGTGGAAGAGAGCAGAGATTAATAACAGGTATTCATGGGTCATGAGCTGAGCTTTCCTCTCTGGCCCTACATGAGAAATTCATTGTCACGAATTCCAGGATGAAAATGGATTCTGCTCTGACACTCGACGTTCGTGAAAGCACAGCAGGAATATTCTGTTTTTTTTTCAGTTGAGGCCGCTGTGAAAAATCATCTTCTGTCCACCATGTGACCTCGAAACATTAATACATGCTTTTATAACCATCTTGATTACTGCAATGAGCTTTTTATCGGGTTCAGCCAGGCCTCCACTCAGTCCTCAGTCCAGTTTCAGCCTCATTTCACTGGCTTCCAGTTTGTTTCCAAATCCATTTTAAGATCCTTTTATTTATCTTTAATGGTTGTGGCCCATTTCACCTACTGCACCCGTACGTCCCGCCTCGCTCTCTCAGATCAGCAGACCAGATGCTTTTACTCTTTCACTCAGAGGTCACAGGGCTTTCACAGTCTCCACTGCACGTCAGGCAGCTCCTGTACTCGCTGTTGTAAAAACATCATTTAAACACACGTTTTTTTCTCGACCCATATTTATGTTTTGTGTTTCCTCAGAGGTCCCACAAATAGTCCTTTTCACCAAAGTTGATGAGGCCTGTCCGAAGATCAGCAGAGATATCAGGAACGTCTACAAAGCGTATCTCTAAAGGAAAAGGTGGATTAGTTTAAGTATTTCAGTGCAAGCTTTGGTTTGGTCAATCTTCACTTCTAACTAAAGTGTTGTGATTTTCATATGTAGATTACTAAGTTCAGCGCAGACACGGGGATCAACATTGTCTACATCTATCCAGTGAAGAACATCCACTCAGAATCTGACCTGAAGGATGGCGCTGATGTTCTAATTCTGCACGCCTCAGACGCATCATCGAAAGAGGACATGACTTTCTCAAAAATCCTAAATCAGATGTTCTCAGTTTATGAGTTTATTTCTAGTTTCTTATTCTTTCTAAGCTTTTTAGCCCCACCTTTTCTCTTTCACACACTAACCTCTTTCAATAAGGTGCATGAGCACACAGGAAAGGTAGGGCAGGGGCCAGTTAAGCTAAGAGATTTGATTGGTCAATCCAGTGTCAGTAATGAAGATGCTGTTAGTGCAGGAGCAGTCACAGTTCTGCATGAAATGATGACTCGGACAGAGCTGAGAGCCAAACTCAATCATTTTATTCTTTTTTTTATATTGAACTTTTTGATCCCAGCTTTTAGTTATATATGACATTTGTATTCAGTGTATGTGTGGTGTCTAAAACATGTTTCCTCTGCTCTGATGAGTAAACAACTTAATGAAATGAACACCTTAGTGTTAAATTTGATAGAAAATGTTTGTATGTTTAACATTATTGATCCATTAATAAAGCTGCAACAAGCTGATAAAAACGACTCCTTTTTGTAAAGGTCATTTCTGAGTTCATTTCATGTCTTCATTGGAAAGTGAGATAGAGCGAGAACGTGTTACGACCTTAATTTGGAGGAACAGAAAGTAATATTTTTTTAAAAATGGGCCTCACAAAACTGCAGCTCTGAGAAGTTCTGAACAGAGATGTTCTGATGAAGTTACAGACACTGATGGAGGACAGAGACTGAATGACTCATCTGCAGTTCTCAGCTCAGTCAGACTTTAACAGCACAGGAAGTTGGAAGCAAGCAGGTTTACATTTTTCACTCTTCCCGAGAGAAGCTTCACAATTTAGACATTAGAAACTCTCACAGTCACTGTTGTGTCAACAGTGCACTCCAGCACTGACCTGTATGTATATATGTGCCTGTGGAGGGGTCCAGTCATGTGTAAGTGAAATGTGAAACTGTCAAGCTGTTTGCTGTTGTGACTCAAACACCACACCTGTGTTTCAGGAATGAAGCTGCTGACATGAAGCTGTGTCTGCTGAGTGGTTTTATCATTGTTCTTGCTGAACTGTTACCAGCTCACAAAACGAAACCAAGAACACAGGAACAGGAAAGAGTACACACCCTGTGATCTGTGGTTACACAGCTTTAGCTTTCTCTACTTCTCTGTTCAAAGACAACTGTCTCATGCATGTGTTAGAAATGATTAGAAGGTTTGCCTTTTAAGTCATTGGGTCTGCAGCATCAAGCAGCTGAGCCTTAAACCTAAAAGTGTTTTGTTTTTTTTGTTTTTTTTAGCTTTTGTCTTCAGGACCCTCAGAGAAAACTTCTTCATTCACACATTTATGGTCTCACTTTTATGTGAAGTCATTCTATGTAATGCATTTCTTTGTTGTCATTCATAATATTTTTCCTCATTGAATCATCTGCCTACATCTCCCCTATACAGCATCCTCCTTCATCACATCCATAGATCTCCTCTGATGTCTTCCTCCTTTCCTCCCTCTCTGCACATGTCCAAACCATATGAGCCTTCTGACTGTCTCACTGTTCTCATGCATGTCCTGCACCACCTCACATATTTGCTCATGCTGTACACAGTTCCTGTTAGTTGGTGCTCATGTTCAGAGGCAGGGTCTGAAAAAATTGAAATCATGTAAAGATTCAGAATAATTTTCTCTGAACAGAATATCTCTTTATGTCATTGTACAAGTACAACAAAACTGTGGGTGCCCCACGCCAACTGTGCCACCAACCGATGTAGGCAATGTTTCACAAGAACTTTGAATAATCAGCAGGTCGTGAGTTTGATCTTAGTGTGCTGCTAAAGAGCTCCAGCAGAGGGCAGCATGCTTTTACTTTCTGCTCTTTCCTTTTGGTGCTGCTGGATTTCAGGATTTCATCTCAAAAGATTCATCCGTGATGGACCAAAACCCGCTCCAGACCCTGAGGAGCTTAATACAAGAATAACAGACAAACATAAAGTCTGAACCTTCCGAAATCTTTAGAGTCGTTCTGATTCTCAGGGAAAAAGAATAAAGAACAAAACGCCTTCAGCCAATGTGTTTGAGCATTAAGGTCAAACAAGAAACCTGAAGACTGACTCTTGTCTGCAGAGACTGGACTGCAAAAACAGATTTAGGTCTACATTCAAAAATTGGTCTTTTGAATTAGATCTTTGCAAAAATAATTCAATTTACATCAACATAACTGAATATAATCTTACATTACAGGGTCAACGTTGGCATATTTAACATGAACATAAAGCTACGACTAGGGATGGGTACCGGTGTCCGGTGCCATGATGGCACCGGTTCTGACATAAACGGTAGTAACCAGACCGAAAAGCAGCGCACATTTCGGTGCTTTATTTCGGTGCTTTTTTTTTCCTGAGCTGTGATACACTTCTAGCCAATCATTTTACGTTTCCAGGATAGTAGGCGGGCCAGGTACGTACGTTCAGTTAGAGCAGAGCTACAGATTAAAAATGTCCAAGGCGAAGCGGTCAAAAGTCTGGCTGTACTTCACAGTAAAAGATGCAAACTCAGCAGCAACAAGTGCTTTAAGCTGATACTGTGATATTGTCAAAGGAGGTAACACCTCAAATCCGATGAAACACCTGGCGACGCATAGCGGTTTTTTTTAAAAGCCGAGAAATGCGCCGTATTTGATAGCTTGCTGCGAGACCTCACACTGTGCACGTTGGGTGGGTTGCCAGTTATCGGACCGGAGCAACATCCCCCAAAACCCGAAGAATAGAGTCCTGGCCCCTAGCCCTGCCAGTGTAGCAGAAATGATGACGGATGATGATGCAGCAGAAGCCGTTCTTCTCTGCGTGAGTCGCTTAATGTTGTCCGTGTGTAATTTACGTTGAGTAGGCTAACCACGTTATTACATTAATGCATGTAAGGTGAACTAGCAAACATCATCATAGCTACATGCAGCTGTCCTCTTGTTTGATGGCAGATACTCCCTTCACCCTGGACAAAAAGGCTAAAATGACCAAAGAAAAAGTGGAAAACAGCTGAACATGAGAGGATTTTGGACAAAGTTTGTGTTTTTTTTCCATTGTTTAAGCACTGCTTCCAGCCAAGAGTGATACCATATATGCTCTATAGCTGCAGAAAAGGCTAACATTGTTATCTTTTTACAAAAAAAAAACAAAACAGCTGAACATGAGAGGTTTTTGGACAAAGTTTGTGTTCTCCATTCTTTAAGCACCGGTTTGAGCACCGTTTAAGCACCGGCACCGTTTCAAAAGTACCGATTTGGCACCGGTATCGGATAAAACCTAAACGATACCCATCCCTAGCTATGACCAATAAATTGAAATCTGGTTTAACACAGCTGTGTGTTATTAGATGTGTTTCCAGCCTGTTACAGTGAATCATCATCACAAGACAAAGTCTTTATGCGGAGCTAAGGTCAGTAACTGAAGCATGTGAGCATAACCTGTTTATGTCCACAAAACCTTTAATATTCATTAAATGTGATACATTAAACTGGACCGGCTTCACTCACTCTCAGGTTGAACTTGAGGTGACATCATTAAATGTCTCCTGATGTTTTTTATAAAGTGAAAGAATGAAAATCATCACTTAAATATTTGCTAACTGTCTTTAAAAGTAACCTAATCAATCAATCGACCAGTGGAAATGCAGATTAATAATTACTGATGTGTGCTGTGTTGTATCTAACCTGTGCATGTGTTGGTTAATGTATGTCTAGCCTGTGTGTTGGTTGTTGTATGTCTAGCCTGTGTGTGTTATGGTAAATGGTAAATGGCCTGTATTTATATAGCGCTTTACTAGTCCCTAAGGACCCCAAAGCGCTTTACATATCCAGTCATCCACCCATTCACACACACATTCACACACTGGTGATGGCAAGCTACATTGTAGCCACAGCTGCCCTGGGGCGCACTGACAGAGGCGAGGCTGCCGGACACTGGCGCCACCGGGCCCTCTGACCTGGTTGTTGTATCTCTTGTCTGTGTGTGTGTGTGTGTGTGTGTGTGTGTCGGTTGTTGTATCTCTTGTCTGTGTGTGTGTCGGTTGTTGTATCTCTAACCTGAGTGTGTGATGGTTATGTTTTCAGGTTGTTGTCAGTTTGATTCTGGTGTTGTGTTTCCAGCAGCAGAGCAGAGCGCTGGTTTCCATCACAGCGTTCCTGAGAGCTGCTGCTGCTTTTTGACCCAGTTTCTCTGCTTTACTTGACTGGGCTGCTCCCAGTGCTGTGGTGGAAGGTCCCTGATGGACCTCCTTCATGCTCGCATTTCTGCACGCTGAGGTGGAGACGTCCTCTGAGGCAGATGTTTCATTGAGGGCAGAGCAGCAGCTGTGCATGGGAAACCTTCATGTGGATGATTTCTTCTCTTCTCTGAGGCGCACACTTCAGATAGTTTCACTAAAAGGAAGCTGCAACAGCACAAACACGATCCAGAGCTCCAGTTCAGCTAGGTGAAGGTTAGCAGACAGCTAGTTAGTACCGGCGCTGCGTCACCATCCAGGTTAAGGAGGCCACGCCCCTATTAACACAAACTTTAAGCCTCAATTCAGTTTAAATGGGTGACTTATAAAACATCCTCCCCGTACAGGTAAAGGTGGAAATGGTCTACAGAGACCAAAAAATCAGTAAAAATGTATCAGGATGTAAACATGTTTGTTTCTGCTGTTAGCTTTACCATGGGGACTGACTCACTGCTGCCCCTGTTGGACACCAGAGGAACTGCAGGTTTGGCCCTAAAGGTGAATAATAAAAACTTAATCTCCAAACAGAATAATCCAGAGCTGGACTCGTATACACA